TTCAGCATGTCGGTTGACCTTTCCGAGCTTCACTTTCTTTACCTGAAAGGTGGAGGGGAAAACAGACGCTTCCTTGCAGGGTAGTAATAAAGATTAGATGCGGTAATGTGTGCCGTGTATTCAGGACCTGGCACTCCAGAATAGCTAACAGTCGGCTCTCACTTGTTCTTCTGCTCCCAGATGAGCTGCTTCAAGTCGGGTCCAGCTTTTCCCCAGTTCTCCCAGGAATGGTGGCTGTGGGTGTCTCTAGGCCCCTGGTGGACGACACCTAGGGGGTGAGAGGCTCTCTGAGAAGTCCTCTGTGTTGTCTCACTGAAGTGGAAAGTTCTATAAAACCCAGAGGCACCGCACGCCAAACCAGCCCACTACACTCCTGGCATGGGGACCAAATAGTGACTTTGAAAATGTGTCTTTTCCTGGATAAAACCTCTAATTGGACAATTGTAGGTCTTCTGGCTTTATGTAGACTTTATGACTTCGAAACTCTTAAGCTGGGGTGAGAGAAAATTTATGAATGGGATTTCTTTATTTCTGTAGCACTCTGACTCATGCTGTTGATTCAGTGGCGGGGCTGGGCTTCCATTACTCGCTCCTTCCTCTCTGCCAGGTGGTCCTTCCTTTGCCTGCTCCCTCAGTGAGCCACAGCCAGTGGGTCCGGAGACCCAGAAACGGGTTTCTGGCTGCTTAAAAAATTGTCCTGGCTCCAGACTGATTTCCCAGGCAAAGGAATATGGTGCTTGGGAATTTCTCAGGGAAGCTTTACAGTTCACTCTTAAATTTTGAAAGCTTGTTTTTCTCAAGCTGCTTAAGCCCCTTGCATAGAAAACACTCATAGTCTGCGTCAAAAGCTGATTCCTGGCTGAGGGACGTTTCCTTGGGTGCCCGCATCCAAGAGCTCTTTTGAAGGTAGTCAGTGGAGCTATAAAAATATGTCTCAGTTGGTGTAGCAGTGAGACTGACTTCACTTAACAGTTGTGTTGGTTAGGGTAACATAAGTTTCTATAACAAAAAGATTCCAAAATATATAAAGGCTCAAATGCAATAGAAATTGATTTCTTGTTCACATCATAGTCCAAGACTGATATATCTGGTCACAGTGGGTGGCTTTCATCCACCCAGTGATTTAGGAATCCTGGCTCATTTTACCTTTTACCTTATGGCCTCACCATCCTCTCTAGAGCCTTGAAGTAATCTGTATCTAGCCAATGGAAGGTGAAAATGAACTCGGGACAGGATCACCCCCTTCATATAAACCTCAGCCGAAAAGTGACTCTTATCACATCTTAGATTCCATCAGTGAAGGACGTGGCTACACCTAGATGCCAAGGGGGCCGGAGCCTGATGTTGCTTGCTGGGAAACCCCTTCACATGGACAAATATGTGCAATGGAACAGAGTACATGAATTTTAGTGGACACTGAGCAATGTTTGCTATAGAAAGGAAATGTATCAAAATTGAGGCCATAAAAGATCAAATATAGATAGGATGCCATTGGGTCTAGCACCTGGCCAACAGGGAAGACCATAACTATCTTTGTGAATCCCCATCCCTTAGAGCAGTGCCAAGCAGGTCGTAGATGCTCAGTAAATGTCTGTGAAAGGAATAAGTGAGTAGATGAATGTCCTACCAATTCTATTCCTTTGTTACCTAGCTTGGGCCATCTAATAGAAAGGTCAGATTCCTGATCAACTGGATCCATTGAGGGTGTACCTATTGGGCCTGGAGCATAAGGGTTGGCCAAATATTGCCCCCCAAAGAACCCAGACACTTACAGTTACTTATTCAATACTCTATAAGGTGCTTTTACTGAGGATAGTAAAAATCTTATACATTTGGGACTATCCTACAAGATCTAGTGTATGGATGGTCTACCCAAGGATCCACAGGATTTCTGATTAGAAGATCCCTTCAAGGACATCTAGACCTATAACTGCAGATATGACCCAACTCACAAGCTAACGCACTTGGCAGTGGCTGCCTGACATTAGATTCTGCAGGAAAATATGCTGGGATTGACTAGTGATGTGTACTACAGGCAAGGGGAAGGCCAATGGAAAGCTAAATTTTTGAGAAGTCCTATCAAGCCTAAGATCTCCATAATTTATATATAGGGGTGAGGCTCAAGAGCAGAAATGGTGGGCAGCTGCCTTTAGAGATTTCCATCTGAAAGCCTGGATGAGGAGGTAATTAGAGCCAGGAACTAAATAGATGATAACAGAGATCAGAAGAAGGTATGCTGGAAAGTCCTCTTGGAAATTTAGGGGAGCCAAGGGTGAGGGACTGGTCTATGGTGGCTACTTCTGAGAGAGAAAAGTGGAGGCAGAGCACAGGGTGAGGCATAGTTTGGATTTTGCGGCTGACAGGCTTCCTACTGAGCTTGATCAACCTTAGGGGGGCTGTTACAGTCCAAACTGTATCCCTCAAAATTCATATGTTGAAGTCCTAGCGTCCAGTACCTTAGAACATGACTGTGTGCTGAGATAGGGTCTTTGAAGAGGTAATTAAGTTAAAATGAGGTCATTGGAGTGGAGCCTCGTCTAATATGACTAGTGTCCTTACGAGAAGAGGAGATTAGGACGCAGATAAAGGAACAGAGGGAAGACCACGTGAAGATGCAAGGAGTAGACGGCCATCTACAAGCCAAGGAAAGACGCCTCAGAAGAAACTAACTCTGTTGACACCTCAGTCTTAGATTTCCAGCCTCCAGAATTGTGAGAAAAGAAGCTTCTGTTGTTGAAGCCACCAAGTCTGTGGTACTTTGTTATGGCAGCCCTAGCAAGCTAACACAAGGGGGAAATGAAGTCTGCTGTTCTTGCCTGTCTTTCTCGCTAGGGCATGTACCACAAGGGAGTTGCGTGAACTCAATGGGCAATGGGCAAATGGCTGGAGTTTAAAGCCCTGCAGGCATCCCATGGTGACCTAGACACAAAGTCACCACAACTCACCACCAACGGGTCCCTCCTCTGTCCCTCCCTGTGCTGCCTGCTGGGGGGGATCCAGAAACACAAGGGTTATGACCCCAACCCAGGTGAGCTCAGTCTGGAGGGAGAAAGAGAAGCCCTGTGTTCCCCAGATCCTAAGATGGCACTGATTCTAAAATACATGATCGATTCAGCCATGGTGTTCAGGAGGCAATAAACACCCCCAAATTAATGAGAAGCATGGACTGTCAGAGCCATCCTGATTTTAGTAAAGTAAAAATGAGATCACCTGCATGTCTTTGAATCAAGGACGTGGAGCAGTCCATGGTTAGAATACCAGGTGACGTGTGCTGTTACAGGGAGGGCATTGGGGGGTTGTGATTGTTTCTGCCTTGGCGGGAGGTCAGGACCCTAGAGAGGGGACATCTGAGAAGGAGTACGCCGGGCCAACAAGTCAGGGAGGGTATTCTCAGCAGAGGGAACAGCACCAGCAAAGGGGCAGGGTATAGACTTAACTGCAATGGCTACAGTGTGTGTAGAAGAGCAAGCAGAGGTGAGGATGGACAAAGCAGCTTGTGAAGTGCCTGGAAGGCCATGCCCGAAGCCTACTTCATTTAGAGCAGAGGGTGAGAAATGAAGCTACAGGCCAAGAGGGAGACAGCCCCAGCCCTGTTCCCTGAAGCAGACCAGCCATCGCAGCTCCACTCCGTCAGCCGCTCCCAGAATGGGAGCACAGATGCATGGCAACCAGGAGATGGTCTATTTAAAGCCACTTGTGAGTTAGTTCTAGAAGGTGCCCTGAGGATGAAAAGGGAGACAGAGAAGGAGCATGTCAGGGGGAAGAAGCTCTGAGTGGGAATGGCTCTGCCCCTGCTGAGCACACTGTGGGGTTTGGGACAAGTCCCTGCCTCTGTCTGGACCCCACGTTCCTCATACCGGGTAGAGGAAACCGTGGGGGTGCAGGAGCCAGTTGCATGGGTTCAGAGCTGGGCTCCATTGCTTATGATTTGTGTCCTTTGGCCAAATCCCATACCCTCCAGGCTAAGTCTTCTCCTATGTAGAATGCGGTAATAATGGTACCTACCGTTTAGAGTTGCTGTGAGGGTTATAGATAAGGCATGCAAAGCTCTTTTAATGGCATCTGGCACACGTGACATGCCCCAAATCCGCTATTGGCAGAGATGGTGGTGATGGTAATGATGGTGGTGGTGGTTGTGCAGGTAACTTAGTGGGGTTTGAACCTTAAACCACGGAACCTTTCTTTCAACCTATTTGGAACGTCAATGTGCAAGAAAGGTTACACCGAGCTGTTTGGGTTGAGGCAGGAGACCCTGAGCCTAGGCCCTCAGCATCCCCTTGCCCAGAGCTCCCAGAGCTCCCAGCCCACCTGGAACCCTGAGGCTCCAGAAAACCAAGGTCGAAAGCAGTTTTCCCGGGGGATCTTTGAGGTCCCTCTCAGCTGCTCCTTTTTAATTTAATTCTTCCTTCTGTAGCTTGAGTGTGCATCGGGAAAAGCTATCCATTCAGTTCAAAATTATTTTCCAAAAGCATCAGCTGAGCCGGGCCCCAGAAATAGTCCAGTAAAGGCAGAGCAAAGTGGACATTCGGACAACAATCCTGCCTGCAAACACCCACAGACAACCAGGTACCAGCTCCACTCCATTGAGTTATTTTTTAACTCAATACATTTTTATTTAAAAATTATTCTTATTTGTACATGTTATGATTCATTCCATTACCCATCAAAGTCACCTTAGCTCCTGCAAAGGCTGAGTCGACTTGTCTTCAAGGTAGGCCTTTCCGAAAGTGCTCGTGCTTCCCCCGACATTGTCAGGTTCTCTTAGCTGAGCTTCTTTTCTCTCCACTTGAATGTGGACATAGTGACGACAACTTCATCAGTTTCCCACCTAGAGTCTTTGAACTCCAGTTTCTTCAAATGACTCACCTTAGAGCTCTGAAGTCAGATTGCAGGAAGTGTCGCTATTTTGGCTAATGATCTAAAATGCATCGTTCCTTCACACGTTTCTAATATGGAGGTCACATTACTTCCAATTTTCACTCACGACCTGAGCAAAAAAAAAAAATTACAGGTCTCATCATTACCCTTGCAATATGTTTCCTGAGCTGGAAACATGGTCTATGGTCTCAGTTTAGCCACATTAGGAATTCCAGGACATGCAACCAGCGGTGCCCATTCTCGTGGAAAATGAGGCTTCACCTCCACATTTTAAAAGATAAGTTATGCAGATGTGACTGTCTTCCCTGGTCACAGTTTGGATAGATTCCCGTCCCTTTGCCTCTAGACCGCTGGCACTGACGTGGCCCAGTGCGTGGTGCACCACGGTTGTCTCTTCTCCGCTAAGGGACTGCGTTTTGTTCTTTGACTGCCAATCCCTAGTGCAGGCTCTGCATTTAGCAGGTGCCTGATAAATCAACGCTGGATCAGTTGAATGGAATTGAATCCGGACACCACTAGGCAGTCAACTCCAAGCGGGGCTCAACGACGACACAGACGGTCTCGGATCCTGACCACACAGAAGTTATTGCCAGAGAAGAAAGATAAATGAGTCCAAGTGGGATAGGGTTCCTTACTTACGGTTAAGAAATGAAATTCCCAAGCCCAGGGTAACTGTCGTGGGGCCCCAGGACACACAAGAGGCAGAGGTTGTCATCAGGATCTACTGGGGCCGGGCCTCGGAGGGACCTGGGAAAACTTTATCTTGAGGTCCTTAAATAGATCTCAAGGACTTCCTTGCTTCCTGAGAGCCCAGAACCCCTTGTGTAGCTCGGCCTGACTGTTTCAACACAACCAGAAGCCTGGCCCCGTGTTGTGTACATTGTTTTAATTGCACATTAAACGCTTCTTTCTTGGGACGCCTGGATGGCTCAGTGGTTGAGCACCTGCCTTCAGCCCAGGGCGTGATCCTGGAGACCTGGGATCGAGTCCCACATGGGGCTCCCTGCATGGAGCCTGCTTCTCCCTCTGCCTGTGTCTCTGCCTCTCTCTCTCTCTCTCTCTCTGTGTCTCTCATGAATAGATAAATAAAATCTTTAAAAATAATAAAATAAAATAAATGCCTCTTCAACGTCCACAGCAGACTTTGGAGCTTACAGCAAACCAAAGCTGGGAGAACAAGCCCAGTGCCCAGCCTATCATTCAGAGCCCATTTTCGTTGACTCCTCCCTGCGTTTCCTTAATCTGCATCTGATGCTGGTCACATGCCAGCTGCCTTAGCTACCTTGGGCTTGTTGCTCTTCTCCAAGCACTCCCACGCCTTAACGATCGGGTTCTTTCTGCTTGACGTGACTGTTCCTGCACCACCGCTCCCTTCCACACCTACTGAGCTCCCACTCATTTTTCAAAACAATCCCATATGCCGCCTCCTCCAGGTAGCCTTCCTAGATCTCTTTTTGGATTTTTTTTTCTCTCCTCCATCTTCTATCCTCCCACAGAACTCACACAGACTGTATGACATTCTGCTTGGGTTTGAGTTTTATCTCTTACTTCAGTCCCTGTGTTGTAAGCTTGACTAGAGCAAAGATTTTTATCTTACTGGCCTTTGGACCCATATGTATATAGGAAGTCTATGGATTTCAGCTTTAATTTCTGGGTCTTTCTGGGTATGTGAACTTGAACAAGTTTTCTAAATGTGCCCAAGTCTTAGTATGCAGGCCCATAAAATGGGAGTAAAAGCAATCTTCCTCATAAGCTTATTGTGAACGTTAAATGACATGCCTTGTATGCAGTAACAATGGAAATGATATAATAATAATATTGAGAAAGCTAATTTTTTTAAAGATTTTATTTATTTATTCATGATACACACACACACACAGAGAGAGAGAGAGAGAGAGAGGCAGAGACACAGGCCGAGGGAGAAGCAGGCTCCATGCAGGGATCCTGACATGGGACTCGATCCTGGGTCTCCAGGATCACATCCTGGGCTGAAGGCGGCGCTAAACCACTGAGCCACTGGGGCTGCCCGAGAAAGCTAATATTGATTAAGTACTCACTTAGGCACTGATCTAAACTCTTTACTACTCACTTAAAACATAGATTTGCAGGGCACTCGGGTGGCTCAGTTGGTTGGGCACAATCTGGGGGTCCTGAGATTGAGCCCCTCGTCAGGCTCTCTGCTTGGCAGTGAGTCTGTTTCTCCCTCTGCCACTCCCCTGCCCCTGCTTGTGCTCTTTCTCACTCTCTCTCTTTCCCTTTAAATAAATAAAATCTTTTTTTAAAAAAACATTTAAAAAAAACCATAGATTTGCAAGACATGGCAAAATCATGCAGAGACATCCCTCATCCCTTCAGCAGTTTTCTGCGATGGTTACATCTTATCTTTGTAGCTCAGTATCAAAACTAGGAGACTGACATCGTGATGATGACGTGTGCGTGTAGTTATGTGTGGTTTCCTCCCTTGTGTAGACTCGTGTCACCACCACCACGATCAAGATGCAGATCTATTTTATTTTGATAAAGACCTCCCGTAGGCTACCCCTTGATAGAAATACTCAGCCATCTCCCCTCTACCATCCTTAACGCCTGGCAACCATTAGTAGATTCTCCATCCTAGACTTTTCTCATTTCCACAGTGTTATCTGAATGGAATGACGCCCTATGTGACCTTGTAAGATTGGACTTTTCCCACTCAGCACCATCTAGCCAAGTTGTTGTGTGTAGATCAATGGTTCATTCTTGGGTTGTCGCTGAGTAATATTCCGTGGTATATGGACGTACCACAGTTCAACCACTGAAAGACATCTGGGTTGTTTCAGTGTGGGGCTATTACAAATAAAGCTGCAATAAACATTCATATCTAGGTGTTACTTGAACATAAGTCTTCATTTCTCAAGGATAAATGTCTGGGAGTACAGTTCTTGGGTTTTTTGGTGAGTGTATGTTTAGTTTTTGAGAAACAGTCAACTGGTTCCCAGAGTGGCTGTGCCATTTTACATTTCCACTAGCATTGTGTGAGTGATTGAGTTTCCTCACATCTTCACCAGCATTTGGTGTTATCACTATTTTTTTTTTAATTTCAGCTGGTTCTACTAGTAGCATCTCGCCATGGTCTTATTTTGCATTTCCCCAATAGCTAGTGATGTTGCATACCTTTTTGTGTGCTTATTTTCCACTATACTTCCTCTTTGGTAAAATCCGCTTTGTCTTTGATGTCATTTGCTCACATTCTAATTGAATTGTTTGGTTCTTTTAGTGCAGAATTTTGGGAGTCCTTATATGTACTCGATAGGAGTCCTCTGCTACAGATGTGGTTTGCACAATCTGCTCAGGTAGACCTCATAACATTCTCATGAAGAGGTTACTAAGGTTATTTCAATTTACTAGAAGAGGCAGTTGAGGCACTGAGAGGTTAGCACGATGCCCAGCACACAGCAGATGTCTAGCAAATAATCATGGGGAGCTTTACGCAGGTGGAGCCACACCGAAGGCACATACACTCCTGGTACTTTGGTGGAAGTGGTGGGGCTGCTGGAGATAAGGATAAGAAGATGCAAGTTGAAGCCAGCAGTGAGTGGAGGCCATGATACCTGCCCATGAGCCCCACGGATCAGGCTGAAACATTGAGGTATGAGCATTAGAACAGGCTTCTCTCTGTCTGGAAATTCCAGTAAACCTGCTAAGATTTTTCTTTTCATCTGCACCCTACCTCTCTCCTGAACTGCAGGTTTAATGGACAGCTGGCCAGTTTCCACCTCGGGGTCCTGTTTATAAGGAAGGGGATTTCTCCCAAGCTTGCCCTTCCCAGGGTGCTGGGAGGCAGCCTGCTGTCATGGGAAGCACAGGGCCAAGGGTCAGAATGCCCAGCACTGGCCCCAGCCTGGTAGTGACTAGTGTGGGAACCAACTGCTTCTCTTCCCTGGACTTCACATCTGCACATCTGTCAAATAGGAGAAGCAATAGGCATTAACTGGCAGCCTGGTTGTGCAGATTAAATGGAGGGCAGAGGTTGAGAACGAGGGCTTTGGTAACACTCATGGGTTCGGAACGGAGCTCTCCTCTTTCTGTGGATTCCTCTGGAAGGTTTCTATGTAACCTTCATCAAGGAGCCTAAGTTTTCTAAGCCTCAGTTTCCTTATCTGGAAAATGGGGACAATCACAGTTCCTACCTTATAGGGTTCAAGATGAGATGATGCCTATCCAATATTTACAATATATCACAAGATGAGCAGGATCCATACAAACGAATATATATATATATTTTTTTTTTGAGCACTTGCTTTGTACCAGATCCGCTTGTCTTAAGTTGGGTTCATCCAAGATAAGATTACTCACCAGACAAGGATATAGATGTAAGAAATGGATTTGGGAGGGGACCCCAGGAAGCAGAGTGAGTGAGGGGCAGGGAGACAAGGAAGGGAGTGCTCCTGTGGGCCACGGGGACTCAGCCCCACTGCACACCCTCTAAGAGACTGGGAGGGGGACGCTCAGAATCAGTGCAGGGGGAGGTGTTCATCCACCATCTCCCCATCCTCAGAGGCTGAGAGCTGCTCCTGGGGTATCCACTCCACCACACTTTTACCTGCCCCGTGCTTGGGCTGAGTGTATTCCCACAGCAGAGAGCACCTTCAAGAAAGAGAGAGACTCAGGATGCTGTTGGTGCGCATGGGGAAACTTGACTGTCTCCAGGGGGACACGGGCGGTGCAGCCTCCACTCCACTGCTTTAACCACTTAGAGCATTAACTCGTTCAGCCCCTACCACAATTCTATGAAATGGGCATGATTTCCATCCCCATTACAACACAGTCCCCAAACACACACCCACTAAAGAAATGCAGCTTCTGCAAGAAAATACTAATCCTCACTCTGTGCGTGCACTCTGAAATTTCCTGGGCTTTTTTTTCCCCTCGTTTCTTTTTTATCATGTTATTTTTAAAATGCTATTTGTCACCCACTAAACTGTTTTCATAATCCAGTAATGGGCTGCAATCCACAGTGTTGGAAAAGACAGTGCCCTAACGTTCTATTTACGAGGACAATGTTGATGGCAGCGGTGATGTCATAAGGCTGGCATCGGGCCTGGTGCCCAGAAGGTGCCCAGAGAATGTTGGTTTCCTTGCTTGCCTTCCTGGCACACCAGAGCTTGCGAGCAGCTGCCTCCCAGGCTTGCAGACAGAGGCTTGGGCTGGCCCCAGTGTTGGCCCCAGTGTGTCTCCCACTCTGACCCAGGCTTGCTCCGGTGGGGTCTGCGCAGCC